GACAGGAGCGGCCGCCGCCTGCCGGGGCCGCTGCCCTGCCGCCCGAGGATGCCGTCGCCCGACGACGAGGACCGCGAGCGTCGCCGGAGCCGCCGGAGGGACCTTCTGCTGAGCCAGCTCTGCTTCCTGGCCTTGGTGGCGCTGCTGCTCTGGTCGCTGTCGAGCATGCAAGAGCATAATGGTGAGTGCTCGCGGCTCGCCCCGAGTGGGCGCTGCGGCTCCGGGAGCTCGGGGCTCCCGGGCCGGGCTCGGGGCGAGCAGGCTGGCCGGTGGGAGGGGGTGCCGGGCACAAGGACTCCCCCTACCCCCTGGAGGGGCTTGGGAGGAGGGGGCCCTGGAGGCGAGGACCGCGCAGTGGAAACGCGGCCGGCACGTGTGGCCGCCCGGCTGGCCCCGGGAACACTTACCTGTGCCTCTTGGCTCTATCCTTCTTACCCACCGGCTGGAGGGACTGGTGGTAGAGGCGGCGGGGACTGTTACCCTAAAGAAGCTCCCCCCCCCCCGCCCCCAGGCCAGTAATAAAGTGGTGCTGATTAAGATTCGGTACCTGTGCAGGTAACCACCTGTACACCTTTGGCTTGTTGAGGGCACGAAGGGGGCTGGTTGACTGGTGAACACGTAATTCTCCCGTGTCCCCCACATAGAACAGGCGGTATGTACCAGGTACAGAGCTCCATACCCACTTTTCCAGAACAGGTGCCCGGAACTTCGGGTAGGAAAAAAAGTGTTGGCCATCTGGCTAGGGTTTAGGAATGTACTTGTTCTCTTTCACTGACCACTCACTGGGAAGGCTGATCCCTTTTGTGCACTTGCAATTCTGGAAGAAATGATTTAGATTGCCCTGCCCATCACGCTGTCGACTGCTCTCATGGTGCCCTGCAGTGGGTCCGCCCTTTACCCACAACTTTTGTCTTATCTTTGTCCTTGGCTTTTCTTGAGCTGAAATAGACCTTGTGGAGAAATGTGCTTAGAACAGTTGTCCACCGAAAACAGTTTGGACCCTGGGGGGCAGCTGTCTAAATAACTGACCGAGAGACTTGGAAGAATAACTGTTGTAAAAATGGTTTTATATCCTAGCCGTTCAAGTGGCACAGTTCGTGGGAAAACAGCCGTAAAAATGGTTGTGAGAAAAAACCGTTACAAATACATGCTTTGGTGTTAAGATAGATGTAGCTCTGATACGAGGCGTTAGGAAGTGCAGAATAAAAGCCTTTCGATAGTGATGGTAAAAGGGTGGCATCAATTAAAAAAGGGATCTCCCCCAAATTGGCTGGTCTCATGCTTCTGGGGTTAAAGCAGATGGTCGGGCTTGGTTCAGGTCTTAACAGACCTCTTGACAGACTTCCTCATATATGGTAATATGAGAAAGTCCGCCCGGGTCTTCAGTGGAGCCGTTGGGACTCCACAGCTCTCTCCCTTTCTCCTGAATCCCAGATTATCTGGTGATGGGGGCCGACATTGGGAAGGGGGCTGTGCTGGGGAGGGAAGCTGGACCTCTCTCGGAGGGCAGTGCCAGACCTGCCAAAAGCATCTACTGACTGATTCTCACGAGGAGGGTTTTCTTTCACCGCCCTTTAATCTACCGGATTTTTATGAGTGTAAAGACAGTCTGTACTTGATGCCACCTTTGGAAAGGACCATGTGAAGTCAATTACATGCCGGCCATTTTTCCTGCATGCTCAGGCTCTGTGAGTCCTAGAGTTTCCACCACTGTCAGGCTATAAAAGACATTTTTCTGGATGGAGAACGTGACCCATACAGTTAAGTCCATCAGTGGCAGGGGGCTGCCTGGGCCCTGGGAAAGCTGGGATGTTCAGGGAGAAAGGGGGTGGCAGACACTCTGCAAACTTGAAACCTGGTGACTCAAATGTCATTTTGAAATGGTTTTCCTAGCAGTGACATTTCTTTTCAGGTGCCACCAACTCTGGACTCAGTTCCATAGCACAACTCTTTTCCCTGTCCCTTCCCTTGATCTCTCTCCTCCCATATTCTTTCTGCCTCTCTCTCCCCTCCCATAAATGTAGGGCTTCAGAATACCCCTACCCCAGCAACTGGCGGTAATAGTGAAAAGCTAGCAGTGTGAAGGGGAATGCCATCCAGCCCCCAAATGGCATGCCAGTCCTAATTCTGTCCCTAGTCACCTTTTCTTCAAGTAGATACTTATAATTTCATTACATGACGCCTAGGTGATTCTCAGCAAGGCTCAGGTTTTTTGAGCTAATTTTTTTGAGCTAATTAATTAATGTGTGTGAATCTGCAAGTGATCATTTCGCTTGGGGGGTTGCCATTCAGCAAACTTAAGTATTTGAGTAGTCACTTTTACCCTGGAACTTGGGTGCTATTCTACTTAAGGGTCCTTTCAGTATGGATAAGAAGTTTGGAATTTAGCCTTGTTTTAAAGACACTGTGTCTGGGAGAGACTGAGTGCTTCGCTTAAGGTCACACAGCAGTTGAGGAGTAGAGGGCGGAACCAACCTGAGGTGGCCTGGCTCTTTGATCCCACCTCTGTTCCCTGGTATTCATGCCACCATCTGGGTGCAGCTTTGTAATATTTATATAACCACATGGGGGGTACCTTGCTAATGATCAAAGGGGGATATTTTTATTTATTCACCTTGAACGCCATGCAGTGATTAAATGTAACTTCCTAGAAGCCTGTTTTCTAACACATACTGATTTTTCTTTTTTTATAAAGAGGACAGTCCTTTCACCAAACCAAGATAGAGAGGTGTTGTAGTTGTGTTACACAGTGTTGTATAACATTTCTGGTCATATGGAATCTGAGCTCCCTTTCTGGACATCTGACTGAACTCCAATATAGAGTCCTTTCTGCTGAGAAGGGACGCAAGCATTATTAAAGGAAGGGTTAGTGCTGGAATCAAGACAAAGGTTAACCCTCATGGCAGCAAAAGCAGTAATAATAACTGGAACTTTGTGGGCTTTTAAGTGCCAGGCACTGTGCTAAAACAAGGACATTTTATGTGCATTGCCTTATTTAAGCTTGCACACGCTCTGCAGACGCTTGAGCCTTCAGCGGGAGAGGAAGCAAGAGGGCCTAGGTGCTCTGTTTAGTTGTTGCTGATAAAGATCTCATTTTCCATCGGTTTTCAAAGCCAATTGAAATAAGGTGTCAGATTTGCTAACGAGGGTTTTCTTTCTCTTTTTCTTGTTTTTGCAGTGAGAATGGATTACTTGTGTGTGTTTTGAGTGGTTTGAAAGTGTTTAATTTTTCTTTGAAGTAAGGAAACTGGTCCCCTTTTTTCCCAGAAGTTGTGTGAAAAAAGCCCAGAGGTTCTAACTCAGCAGTGATTATAGACATCCCCTCTAGAAAGTTCTTGGGTAGGTGAATAATGAATAAGGAAGAAATATACATATGTAATATATATAGTTCAAAGTATATATATATATATACACACACATATATATCTTGCTCAGTTACTATTGCTAATAACAAATTACCCCAAAATATAGTGGTGTAAAACTACCGTTTTATTTTTTTGCTCATGGATACTTTGGGTCAGGAATTTGGACAGGGTGTAGTAGGGATGGCTTGTCTCCACTCCATGTCTGGGGTCTCAGCTGGAAAGAGTGAAAGGCTGGGTGACTTGACAGCTGGGTCGGCAGTCATCTGGAGGCAACATCACTCCCATGTCTGGGGTCGATGCCTGCTGTTGGCTGGACCCTCAGCTGGGCTGTCAACCAGAACACCTGTGTGTGGCTTCTCCATATGGCTTCTCCATGTGCCTTAGTTTGAACTTCCTCATAGCACAGCAGCTGGGTTCCAAGAGGATAAAGTGGAAGTGCACAGCATTTTTTTGTCTGAGCCTCAAAAGTCACATGGTATGACTTCCACTGTTTTCTTTTGGCCAAGACAGTTACAGATGTCAACCCAAGTTCAAAAAGGGGGGACAGAGATACCACCACTTACTCAGTGGAGGAGCATCAGGGTATATCGTAAGGCGAGCAGATGGGCATGTGTGTTGGTGTGTAACATGGGCATGTGTGTTGTGGCTGTCTTTGGAAAACCAGGGGTCCAAGGGATAATAACTTACAGATCAGACACATTTCCCAAGGTGGTAAATGGTGAATAATACATGCATATTTGAAATACCTTCCAATCATGATAATGTGGCAGCGCATCTGAAGTCAGGTGTGGGGTCCACAGGTGGTATTTGGAAAGAGGGCCGTGTGGGTGTTTGAACTGCAAATTTCCGTTGCAGATCTGAGAGCACATCTTTAGCTTTGTGGCTTCCTCTTCCTCAGAGGACAAAGACCACAACCTCTCGATCCCTCCTGTGGCTGACAGGGATGCCTTGCTGGATTCTCCAGCTTTATCTTCCCTCCCTGCCTTCCCTTCCATGCTTCGCTACTTAGGCCTTTCTTCTGCTCCTGAAAAGGGTGACACTTCTTCTAGTCCCAGACCTGTCACACATGCTGTTCCACAGTCACCATCACAGCTAGTTCATCCTTCACCTCCAGGCCCAAGATCTTCCTGACCTGACTAGATCCCCTATTTTGCTCTTTGAACACCCTCAATTTTCCCTTCATAGCATTTATCACAATTGGCAATTATGTATTTATTTGGTTTTGGTTTGAGTAATCTGTCCTGTTCACCAGATTCTAAGCTCCAGGAGGTCAGGGACCCTGTGACCTTTGCTCACGTTTGTCATCTGTGTCACCCGCCCACAGTAGATGCTCAAAAGATGCTTGTTGAGTAAAGAAGCTGTTTTGATTTCCGAACTACAGGACCTGTGTTAAAAACTAGTTACCATGCCTCAGGAGCTCAGTTACTGGCATACATTGTAATCTCACAATTTAGAATTCTGCCCCCGTCCATCAAATTCAGTGTTGTTACCCATTTTTCATGGGCTAACACGGAGCTGCAGAATGTGAGTGCTTTGCCCAGTGTCACTTCATGAAGTGGCAGGATTTGAATGCAAGGCCACTTGCATCCAAGCAGGATGCCACTGCATTCCCTAGCCTCAGCTTAGGAGGACATGAATAGAAAATGGGAATCACGCTGCCTTTTTCAGTCGACTAGGGAGAGTAAAGGAGTAACAGAAGGTTGCTTTCATAGAAGCAGTATTTTAGAAACACATTGCTTTTCAACCTTTTCTATTTTATGCCTAAACATATATAGATGTGTCTCTCCTGGCTTTTCTTAGCTGCTCATCAACCCAG